GGGGGCAAGCGAGGAACGGAGGGGTGAACAACGCCAATGGGCGAGAAAGCAAGACCGAGAACGTTCGAGGGATGGTCGGAGGGGCAAGGTGGATATGGTAAAGTTAGGTTAGGTGGACAGAAGGGGCGGAAGTGGGTGAAGGGATCGAGGGATAGTAGTACCACCCACTGACCATCTCTATCTTACCTAGACTCTAAGCGCTCTTGCAAAAAAGATTGCTTTTTCTTTCTTTTCAAGATACGAAAGGATGAGAACCATTTCGATTTAAATTTCAGTATAATTTAATCTTTCTTATAAATTTAATAAAAATAAGATTTTCAGAAATCGTAATATCTTAAGAATTATTATTATGAAATAAGTAAAGATTATAATTTTTTTTATTTTGCATTTTGCGAAAAATTTTTATGTTTTAATGATTGTTTGTCTTTTTATAACATATGGTTACTTCTGTTGTAATTCTACGCGTAGATCATAATATAGTTCTGTAGGTCAGGGACCGAGAATACGCACGAGTTGCCACGTGCTCAGCAGCGCATTTGAATGAATACTCTTCTTGGACGATTAGTAGCTATGTGTGGGATATACATATTTACTCTTTAGTATTATTATTATTACTTTTGTGTTTTCACATGAAACCAATGGTAAATGTATTTATATTATTGACAGTCGGTATGGCAGATTTTGTTAATAAATTATTTTATCGATCATTTACAATTTATTTACAATTTATTAAATCATCTTATATAATGAGAAAATCGATTTAAAGCAACAAGTGTTTTTATATTACAAACGAAATACAGAATATATTTAAAATTTAATATTTTTTATCTCATGCCATCAATAAGATTCTTTTTATCATTTTAGTGTCATTCTCAATATTATCGATTCGATAATAAGATCATAACATTAATAATGATTGAAAATAAAATTAAATTTCAATGTAAAATTACAAATAAGAATAAATGTTTTATTATCAAATATTTTATATTATATATTTTATATTATATTATATTATATTTTATTTTATTATATTTTATATTATATTTGATATCCTATATGAAGAACTATATTTTTTACATGATTTATTTAAATTATTATAAAATTTAAATAAAATAAAATAAATAAATGGAATGGTAGTTTCAATTACCAATATTAAACAAACGAAAAAAAAAAAATAGCGCTTCAATAAATAACATCGTTTTTTAAATAAAATGTTTTAAAATTTCTTTCTATTCGCTTTTCTCAAAACATTTAACATTTTATTAAAACATAAGATACAGACAAGATAAATGTGACAATGCTTTTTTATGTTTTAAAAATTTCTTATATTTTCATTTTAGACGCGACATTATCAGTTCAGTATAGAAAATAATTATAGCGTTGGAATTAAAATCAACAATAAATAAACAAAATAAAACAAAATTAGATTATGTATTTGAATGTAAATTTTTAAGATTACGAATAAGTGAAACTATAGATATTGAATTTACAAGGGATTCTATTATATATCATTATATGTATATAAATTTTTTACAAATATTAAATTTATAAATGTTAATCTCATCTGTGCTTATACGTAAAATTATAAATTTTCACTTATAATATCACATTTATGATACTATTTCTATTTACAGCCAAAACAAGTGCGTTCACCTACATGGGTGCAGAAATTTCGAAAAGGCAATTGCTTTGAATGTGCAACATTTCTTACTAGCTTATTACTAGGTCAAGGATATAATGCATTTGTAGTAAGTGGTTATGCATCTAGAGAACAAACACTCTGTGATTTGACAAGACGATCATGCCCCTACATACCACAACCGGAAAAGAAATTTCAGGAAGATACGATACGTCCCGAGATTACTAAATACAAACTTAATCTCAATGTAGAATATAAAAATCAATTTTTATCGGAATCGGAAGAAGAAAAAGCGAGGAAATTACAAGAAAAATTATTATTAGCTGAAAAGGAGCAACAAAATTTAATTGAGGTAACTTTTTTTTAAATTCTACTAAATGTTTTTCATAATTTTACTTTAAAAAAAAAAAAAATTATGTTTGAATTTAGGAATTAGAGCAACTTCCAGTAGATAAATATTGGGGACATAGAATCCATGCTTGGGTAGCGATATTACCAGAATTAGGTGGACTGAGAGATCAAGAAATTCCTTGTCCATTATTTATTGAGCCTACCACTGGTATATCTTACGAAGTTACAGATGACGATACAGCTCAATTATACCTCGGTGTAGAAAGTATATGGAACGATCAAAATTATTGGGTAAATATGCAGGTATCTGTACAATCGTGCGTAAACATAGAATGGGATTTAATGAAAGTAGAATTGTGGGAACATTTGCTTCCCGGAGAACCATGGACAACACATACAGGAGAGATTGATGAAGAATCTGCTATGCGTCAAGAAAAACATCTGGATATGCCATTATCATACGTTAATCAAATAAATATTAGCGAAGAAGGTATAAAAAATTTTCAATTATAAAATATTTAATTCTTAAATATATTTTGTTATGTTTCGTTTATATTTCTTGAATATATTTTTATTTTATCTTTTAGAATTTGAGAAACGATTCCCAAACGGTATGAAAATAGTATTATATAAAAAAACAAAAGTTGAATTTTACGCACCATACATTCAAACAGATGGATTGATACAAAGAATTACTACATACGATAATGACATGAATCCTATCGATATATATGAAAATTATAGAAATAGATCTGATAATCTCATAGAATCACGAAGAAATATGATTGACGGTACCGTCATAGATTATTATACAAGAGGTCGAGTTGACCAGTGTAAAGGTGTATAATTTATGAATATAATTTTCCATATTATATTTAATTAATAATGTGCGAAATACTTAAATAATGTAATATATTTAATTAATTTTTCATTAATAAAATAAAATTTACAGAACATCGATATTTTTTATTGAATAATGTCAATGTAGATAGTGAACGAATTTTAGATTTTTATTACGTTGCTCGTTTCGATGGATTATCTAAATTCGAAATGCATCCAACTTATTTAACGCAACACTTTGTTGATCGTGATGATTTTCTATATTATCGGTAAGCGATAACTCGTGAATGAATAATTAAAATATAAATTATTAAAAATGAAATATAATATTATAACCAGAGTTTCGATCAACTTGAGAACAGGCATGTAGAATTTTTACAAGACAAAAAAGGTGAAACTCAAGATATTCATTATCGACACATTTCGGTAAGATAGAATTTTATAAAATTTTTAAATAGATAAAATATAATATAGATATAAAATGTATTTTTATATCATTTGTATTAAAATGAATAATTTTTAATTACTTATAAAGAATAAAATATTTAATTAATAAATGACATTTTTTTTATAATTGATATTTTTACTTTATTAATATTTTACTTCATATGATTTAATAAAATTTAATAAAAGTTTAATAAAAATCTTAATAAATACTTTGTCTATAATTTTTAAAATATTATAAATAACTTTTCACATGAAAATAGATTAGTTTAAAATATCTAAATAAATTTGCAGAAAATTGTCGAAAAATTTAATAGAGATGAACGAATAAAAGCATGTAAAAATATAGCAATCCGTGAATTTGCTATTGATGATAACGAAATACATCTTACTTATCATTATTATCCAGGCAATTTTACTAGAGCTTTGCGAACATATATAAAACCACCATTAGCAGAAAGGGGAGAACGATTGGATCTTAGTCCAGCAATGACACATGGATATAATGTGAGTATTTATCAATATCAAAAAATTTATTAAAAGATTATTAAATTATTAAAAGAAAATTTATTAAATTATTAAAAGATAATTTTATTATCTTATTTGTAGCCTCTAAATGAACCTGATAAGGCTTTAGATTTATTATACGAACTAGACAGACAATTAAAGGAGGAGGATATATCTATATCTCAAGTTAGAGCGGCGGAAAAAGAAATGTTTTCTTTTCTCGAGATAAGAAAAAGTGAATATTTGACACCAAAACTGTTGATATCTATATATGATAAACTTAGAGAATCGGAATCTGTATTAGAAGCATTGGTAATATAAAAAACAATAATAATATAATTTCTTTTTAATTAATTAATTAAACGTATATATTATAAATGCAGAAGAAACAAAGTATAAAAGATATCACGGAAGAAATAAATTATTTGAAGCCATATTTAGCTCGTTTAGGAAATCCATCCGAGCTATCAGAAGCTGAGGCATACTTAATACAATATGCATGTATTCGTGATTACAAACAATTATTTATACGTAGGGCGAATAAAATCTTACATGAATTTGAGAAATATTCACAGGAATTGGTGAAAACGCAAGCATTGATATTACAGGTAAAATTTTATTTTTTGTCATATATTTATTTGATATATGTAAAATATAAGATAAAAATATCTTTCTACAGGAAGAAGATTTAACTCGCGAAGAAGAAGAAAAAATATTAGAAAAAATAAATGAAATAAGTTTTTATTTACAAACTTTAGAAAACAGATTAAATCGTCATAGAGATTTGGTTCCTATAAAATATAAAATGTTGATAAATAATTTACAACAAAATCCACATCTTGCGATAATTAAAGAAAGTTTAATGTATTTTTGAAAAAAAACAGATATATAGATAAACAATTTATTTTATTGAAAAGACCAAGAACCCATTTGTCCAATACATCGACCTAAAATAATTTTATATTGTAAAAATCTTAAATTTTTAAGAAATTTTTGTATGTTATTTACCTTCATCATCAAAAGTGGCTAATGTAAATTTACTAAGTTTATTAGTAAAACTTCCAGTATTAGAACCAATCATATGGTCTGTTAAACGATCACTATTCGTAATATCATTATTACTTCTATGACGACGATGTTCTTCAGCAAAGCCAGAAATTAATATATCCATCATTATTGCCTTATAATAAAATAAATTTTAGTAATTTAAATTATTAAAGTTAACTTTTTTAGGAATAAGTCATACTTGTCTTGAGAATACTTGTAGAATTTTATAAACTTGTGTTCCATTTTCTCGCACAGGAAACTGTAGAAATAAACATGGCAGACAATCCGAATTATTTTCATCTGAAGGTTTCGCCATTTCCCAACTTAACTCTGAATATCTTAGACCCAATAATAAACTCTGTAAAAATATTATTTGTAATATATTATATGAATGATAATTACTATATATAATATTTTTATTTCTTACACATTGAATATCGTCCACGATATATACTCCTGATGAATTAATAGCAATGAGTATATACATATCACGATTTGTAATCCAAGATGCAAGACCTCTTACAGGACGTTCAATTTGTCCTTGAAAAAAAGCCGCACCATAACATGGTAAATTCCAGCAAAACTCTAAGTATTTTCTAATTAGTTTCCTCGAATTCGTATTAGTTCCTGTGTGATTAGGTATTCGTTTGTACTGTTCAAGTAGGCGAGCTTCAGGTGCTCCTTTTCCACCAACTAGGCCTAAACCAACACCTAATCCTAATAAAAGACTAGGAGATGTATAATGATGAGGCAAGAATCGACCACGATATCTTCTAAAAAATGCTAATGTATGATTTTGAGGATTATATGGACCCAGTTCAATACGTGCTTGCAAAGCTCCCAAACTTGCATATCGTGCCTGTCCTTCGCATGGATAACGTCCTAAAACACAAACAAATATTATATAGAATAATGAAATAAGTAAATAATTTATTACCTTGCAATACATTATTTCTGGCTTCTGCATATAATAATTCTAATACTTTAATTTCTTTTATTTGCTCCTCATCTGATCGAGAAAGAAACACATTTCGTCTAAGACATAGCAAAGGTTCTTCATCTGTTTCTTCTCTTTGAGAACTATATTTTTTTACTAAACGATTCCATTTTGCAGCCAATTCTATAGGTTTGTGATTTGGACGTAATTGAACCTCTAATCTTGAAGAACAAAGCCATAAGGCAAAAACTGTTTGACCAGTGAATGAAGGAATTCTTGTTAATCCTAACTCTCCTTCTGATTGTATCATTGCAAGGATTTGATGTGCAGTAGAATTAGATTCAATATCCATTGTTAAAAAAATTCCAGTTGTTAAATATATAGCTATTCTTACAATAGATCTTCCAATATTTATGTATTGTGATTGATTTATTATTATTGCTAAATAAAAAATCATAAAGAAAATATTAACAATTGAATGTTTATATAAAAATGTTATTACTTACAAGTTGAAGTATGTCCATCAGATTTGAAATCATTTTGATAACGTCGAATAGATTGTCCCCTTCTAATTGTACAATCTTCTTGAGTTTCCATACTTTTAAATTTTTGTCTAATTATATGTGAAATATATATTTTTATTCATATTTTTATTTTTATAGATATTAATATTAAGCACATTCTTCAATATTTATTATTATTATATCTTCAAGAGATTATTAAATAATTATTAAATAAGTTATAAAACATAAATTGCTAATAAAACAAAATGAATTTACTAAGTTAAAAAATAAAATTAATATTGAATAATTTTTTCTTAATCACAATAAATAAAACTGTATAGCAAGTTTTAATTAATCTTTAAATATACTCAACCAAAATACTGCTCTGCTGCCATCTAAACTAAGAAGCGGATTATTGATTATTTTCGTTTCTCAAAAAAAAACTATATATCTCAATACAAATAACGTTTATGAATGTTAATAAATAAATAATAAAAAAATATAAATAAACTAAAAAATAAAACTAAATCTTCTATATCTTCTATCTTTTTAATATATTTTATTATCTATTATAATAAAGACATAAAGTAATTTTATATTTGTGTCAGAAGTTTATTATGTTTTATAAAATTAGTTAATTTTTATTATTTTGAATGTTACATTTTATATATAACAAAAATGGGATATTATTTTATAAAGAGTCTTGTATTCTCAAAAAAATACTGCTATTTTAATAACTGTTTTCAATCAAAAAAAACACTTCAAAAATGTAATTTTCAGAATATCTGAATAAAAATAATTTCTATTTTTGCATAATAATTCTTATTTAATAAAAATTTAAAGTTTAACATTATATTAAGTCTGCTACATTCATAGGCATTTCATCAATTTGTGTTGAATAATATTGTTCAATATCTCGAAGAATTCTTATATCATCAGTTTTTACAAAATTAATGGAAACACCTTTTCTTCCAAAACGTCCTGATCGTCCTATTCTATGAATATATAATTCACGATTGTTAGGTAAATCATAATTGATCACAAGAGATACTTGCTGAACATCTATTCCTCTTGCCCACACATCAGTCGTAATTAAAACACGACTAAAAAATAATACAGTAATATAAATATTATATTATAAATTTTACTTACAATGTTTATTATATATATATATATATATAATATTTAAATATTATAACTATAACAATACCTTTGTCCAGATCGAAATTCTTTCATTATGTTATCTCTTTCTTTCTGAGGCATATCACCATGCATAGAACAAACTGTGAAATTAGCTTCTCTCATTTTTTCTGTCAGCCAATCCACTTTACGTTTAGTATTACAGAAAATTACTGCCTGTGTTATTGTCAATGTATCATACAAATCACATAATGTATCAAATTTCCATTCTTCTCTTTCAACAGCCACAAAAAATTGTTTTATTCCTTCTAATGTCAATTCATCACTAATAATAATGAATTATTTTTATAATTTTAATAAAACATAAATTTTTTAATTTTAAATAATTTAAGCTTACCGTTTTACAAGAATACGAATGGGATCTGTCATAAATTTACTTGTCATTTCAAGAATTTCATGTGGTAATGTTGCAGATACCAATACAACTTGTGTTGCGGGTGGCAAATATCTATATACATCATAAATCTGTTCTTTGAAACCTTTATTTAACATTTCATCAGATTCATCAAGAACTAACATTTTTATAGCTCTTGTTCTAAGAACTCTTCTTTTTATCATATCTAAAAACCATTAAAAAATTAAAAATTAAAATAACAAATTTATAATCCCTGTGTTATAATATTCTTTTTTATAATAAAAATGTTTTTATTTTTATATCAAAAGAATATAATGTTGTTATTATCTTTAGAGAAATTGAAAAAAATAATTAAATTAATAAAAAATTTTTTATTCAAATTACCAAATACTCTTCCAGGTGTGCCTGATACGACATGCTGTCCATAATCTAATTTTCTAATATCTTCTCCAAGATTTGTACCACCTATACAAGCATGACATTGAACATTCATAAAATCTCCTAAAGCCAGAATAACTTTTTGTATTTGAGTTGCCAATTCTCTTGTAGGTGACAAGACCAATACTTGTGTTTCTCGAACTTGTGTATCTAAAGATTGCAATATAGCAATTGAAAATGTTGCTGTTTTCCCTGTACCAGATTGAGCTTGTGCAATTACATCTCGTCCTTTCATGATTGGTTTAATAGATCGTTGTTGAATCGCAGAAGGTTTCTCAAAACCTATAATTAGAATATTATTTTATAAGTATAATTATAATAATAATATATTATAAGTATAATAATATATTTATAAGTATAAAAAATAATATTAAATGTTCTAAAATAATAAATATAAAGTAAAATATAAGGTTATGTTAAATTAACAAAAAGATTTTAATAATACCATAAGCATAAATTCCACGTAATAACTCATCTCTGAGTCCCATATTATCGAATGTTGGAATAACTTCCACATCTTCACTAGTTTCAAACTCAACGTTTGATAAATCTTCTGTTTGCGCTACACGACGTGACTTTATTTCCGCCATTTTTGTAATATATGAAGACAAACATGAATGATTTGAAGATAGTAAGAGTTCAAATCGAATAAGTAAGTTAAATATATAAAAAAAATTTTATAAATTACTAAAAATAAAATTTTATTTGTTTTATAATATATAATAAAAAAATTAATATATAAATAAAATTTCTAACAATGAAGCTATTTTTAACAAAATTTTCAATAAAAGACAATAATGAATATGGCTTTAATATAATTACTACGTTCACTTAGTTGCTATATTCACCATTAATAAGGATAGATGCATTCTAGATATTTTATAATTGTAAATAATTAATTTCATTAGTTGATAAATATTTAATTATATTATGTAAATATTTTGACACATAAATAATGTGTTCATAAATTCATAAAGATTTTTTACAAAAATATACATATAAAATACGAATCTGTCAATTAGGTTAAATTTTAACGTATTTAAAGTGTCAAAAAGCAAAAGTTAAAATGAATATTAATGTAACTTTAGATGAACCTTTAACAAGTAATAATTGCGTGAAACTTGTAATTGAACTTCTAAAGTATATTTTATATCAAAAACAACAAATACCATTTACTTATGATTCATTATCTCAATTACAAATGAAATCAACTGATAGAAATTTGTCTTCTATAAAAACATTATTAAATACTCTGAAAAGCACATCAGAGCAGTTAAATTCACAATTTCATCTCAAAAACTGCAAAATCAAAGAAATTGCTATACTTATTGGTGCTACAATAATATCACCAAAATTACATATTAGGATTATATTTCCATCTGATATTCTTAATAGTCAAGAACATTTTGAATGTAAACATGCTTCTAGGAAACCTCTCTTAAATTTAATGAGGTTAGTGAAAAAATCTTTACATAATATTCTATTATCTTTTATTGAAATATTTTTAACATTGCAGATCAATGCTAGAATGTTCAGAATTTCAAGATGCACTGACTTTACCATTGAATCCTACAAATACCTTTGTGTTAATACAAAAAAGTGATAATAATACAATATCAGATTTTTTTTTACCTAAACCACAATATATACCTCCTATACAGATTTCAAACTATTTTATAATTAAATTACAATATAATGATCAAAAAAAACTAAATTGTAATTGCATAGATATAGTGAAAGTTTATAATGAAGTATCCGAATCTAATATTGAGTCTAAAAACAAAGATATTGAATTTTTAAATAATTCAAGAATTAATACCACACATGTATCCTATCAATGGTATCAATCCAAAGAAGTAATTAAAGGATTTAAATTTTTAAGATGACTATAGATTATTAATAAAATCAATATTCATAGGAAATTAAAATAGCAAATTTTTAATTAATATTATATAATAGATTTATTTTTAAAA